GGTGGTTGGTGGGTGGTGGAGTGATTGGGTGGGAGAAGCGCATTTATCGTCTCTTATTCTCATTGGCATTTTCTAAACTTTCTACGCAAAATCTCAGTTGTAGCTCTGCCGCACCCCGGGACGAAAATAAATAAATAAACGTTTAGTACGTTTTGTCCGTGTAATTGTTAATCTTTTTTATGTGACCGACACCGATTCCTCTTCATCGTCCACAAAAGCCGGCCACAGCGCACATTAGTCACGCGTTTATCTCTTCCCAAACGGGTGATGGACACCGATTTTGAGAATTACAAACCCTGTAAGCCTCTTATCGAACGCTTATGAATTGCCCACGGAACCCGCAGAGGAGAGGATAATGGGACATTTAGAGGACAACCCCACGAAGTTACCAATTTTAATAGACACACACAAAGGCAAAGATCCCCCGTATAGCCTTAACAGACTGTAGGGGCAAGTGCTGTTAGCGAGTAGCACCTATAAAGGCCGGCACGGCACACGAGGTGATGGGTGGCCAACACCACGCCCGGCCGCCTTTGTCTCCCCCAGTAGCGATGTTTACACATCACACTGGATACTAATTTGAGGCTGAGTCGACCTAGGGGAGACACAGGACTGGTTCAGATAATCGTCACTGGTGTTGACCGTGAGCGTGAATCGAATCCGGGTCGCCAGGTTCGTAGCGCAGTCAGCTAACCGCTACACTATCGCTACCCACCATACATACACACACACACCAGTGACCACATACAAATTTATGTGCATTAGTATGTTATTTGCTTGTGATTTGCATGCATTGGAAGAACACCCCGAGTCTTATGATGGCGACAATTGACCGGTGCATCCCTTCATCGGCAGCCTTGATCTATCCACTGCTGAATTCAGCCCCCTCCGCCCCGCTCCCCCCCACCTCTCAGAAAGTGGCAGCCAAAAATAGAACGGGCAAAACAAAAACGAATAACACAGACGGCCCGCGGAGAGACGGGCGTCCCAATCGGCTCGCGGCGCGGGCGATCGGTAGATCGCTCCACGGCTGGGACCCGAGGAGGAGTCGGCCCTCGTCCTCCGCGGCCTTCATCCAGCTGCTGATTGGTCACGGCTGATGACCACGGTGGAAGTCCACCCCTGGACTCCCCGAGAGCTTCTTCAGCCGCCGTGTCACCTCCACACGACGCGTGGAGCGAGCAGTTTGCTGTCGTTTTTTTTTTTGGGGGGGTGGGTGAGGGTTGGGGGGGCTGAAAAGGTTACGAATTCCATGCAGCCGATGTACCGAACCTCCGCCTCTTGGTCACCCCCTCATACTCCTTCCCCCCCTCCTCCTCCTCCCCCCCTTCTCCTCCCCCCCTTCCCCCCCCCCTCCTCCTCTCCCCCCTCCTATCCCCCCCCACCCCCTTCTCCCCCCCCCTCCTCCACCCCCCACCCCCTTCTCCCCCCCCTCCTACCCCCCCACCCCCTTCTCCCCCCCTTCCCCCCCCCTATTCCCCCCACCCCCTTCTCCCCCCCTCCTACCCCCCACACCACCCCTTCTCCCCCCCTCCTCCTCCCTCCTCCCCACCCTTCTCCCACCCCCTCCCCCCAATCTCCCCCCTCCTCCTCTCCCCCCCTCCTACGCCCCCACCCCCCTTCTCCCCCCCTCCTCCTCCTGTCCGTGCGTCTTTCTTCTGAGGCCCCAGCACCTGTGCCTTGACGTCCCGTCACGCGACTCCCAAAGGGGCTGGGGTGGGGGCGTCACCGACATCGTCCACAACGAGAAGGGGGGTGGCGGACTGACGGCCCTGCTTGATCTTGCCACCCGCTACACTCCTCCAATCACCGCTCGCCCAGCAGCGTAACGAGCGTGGGGGTGTTGCCCCCCCCCCCCACCTACACCCCCCCCCCCCCCCGCAAAAGTAACGAGTCGGGGCCCCTTTGACACCCATCAGCAGTTTGGTATTGGAAGTAATATCGGTTTTTTTTTTTAAGCAATGTAACGTAACAAGGCGTCATTTCTCTTCCTGGTTCTTTCGGTAAAGTCACGTAGAATGGAAATAATAAAATAATAAAAATAAACATAATCAAATAATTCTCACGACGTTTCGGCCACAACGCAAGCAGCCGTCCTCAGGTGAAGAACAGGTCTGTCGAGAACATAGAGTCCTGTTCTCCACCTGAGGACGGCTGCTTACGTTGTGGCCGAAACGTTCGTGAGAATTATTTTATTATGTTTTATTTTTATTACTTTATTATTTCCATTCTACGTGACTTTACCGAAAGAACCAAGAAGATGAATCCCTGCAGTCACGAAAGCTTTAAATCGAAATTTAAAGCGTAATTTGTTTTGAATAACAGTGACTTGAGTGAAATAACATTGGACATAGAACTATGTTTCTGGAATATTAATTCACTAGATACGCGTCAATTTTATTGCAAGGAGGGTACCACTACAGAGCTGGAGTGGCTGCATTGTGTGTAGATGAAGCACTCAAAATGTTGTTACTAGACCACTCAATGTAGTTACTACACCACTGATAATGTAGTTACTACACCACTGATAATGTAGTTACTACATCACTGATAATGTAGTTACTACACCACTGATAATGTCGTTACTACACCACTGATAATGTAGTTACTACACCACTGACAATGTAGTTACTACACCACTGATAATGTAGTTACTACATCACTGATAATGTAGTTACTACACCACTGATAATGTAGTTACTACACCACTGATAATATAGTTACTACACCACTGATAATGTAGTTACTACGCCACTGATAATGTAGATACTACACCACTGATAATGTAGTTACTACACCACTGATAATGTAGTTACTACACCACTGATAATGTAGTTACTACACCACTGACAATGTAGTTACTACACCACTGATAATGTAGTTACTACATCACTGATAATGTAGTTACTACACCACTGATAATGTAGTTACTACACCACTGATAATGTAGTTTACTACACCACTGATAATGTAGTTACTACACCACTGATAATGTAGTTAGTACGCCACTGATAATGTAGTTACTACACCACTGATAGTGTAGTCACTACACCACTGATAATGTAGTTACTACACCACTGATAATGTAGTTACTACACCACTGATAGTGTAGTCACTACACCACTGATAATGTAGTTACTACACCACTGATAATGTAGTTACTACACCACTGATAATGTAGTCACTACACCACTGATAATGTAGTTACTACGCCACTGATAATGTAGTTACTACACCACTGATAATGTAGTTACTACACCACTGATAATGTAGTTACTACGCCACTGATAATGTAGTTACTACGCCACTGATAATGTAGTTACTACGCCACTGATAATGTAGTTACTACGCCACTGATAATGTAGTTACTACACCACTGACAATGTAGTCACTACACCACTGATAATGTAGTTACTACACCACTGATAATGTAGTTACTACGCCACTGCCGCTCACCCAGCCTAAATCCCGACAAACCACGTCCATACTCTTAGTTTTTTCGGTAAAGTCACGTAGGTAAAAGATGAAATGAAAATTTATAAAAATAAAATAATTTTAATAAAATAATTTTATTATTTTCTTTTTATTAATTTAATTTCATTTTTTACCTATAAACCCTTGCAGTCACGAAAGCTTCAAATCTAGAAACCACGTGCAACCACTGATGCCTCCACCTCCCCTGACATTTCTCATCTCCCCCGCCCCTCTTCCATCCCTGTCCCCCCCCCCACTCCTCCTCCTCATTACTGAGTCTATTGGTGACTGCGACAACGGCGACGAAGATGAAGAAGCAGCAGCAGCAGAAGCGTCGACTCCGCTCTCCGCGCACCCCATCCCGGGCTATGCTGGCAGCAGCACCCCCGTGGTGCCCGTGACCTTCTTTAAATCTCTGGCGGAGGAGGGGGTGAGGCTGTGGTGCCACAACGAAAAGCTCTGGGGGGGGGGGGGGGCGAGGAAGGGGGGGGGAATGGCCCGGGACCCGAGTTCGATACCCGCCGAGGGCTGACATTGGCGCAGACATGGAATCTGTGAATGACGGGGGAAACTCCATCCGTCGCAGAAGAATGTGTCATTGATGGTGAGCAAAGACGAGACGAACAACACTGCAGTTTTTCAGCGACTGCTGATGTGTGTATGTATAGTTGATTGAGTCTATGGGTCTCTGTGTGAGTCTATGGGTCTCTGTGTGGGTCTATGGGTCTCTGTGTGAGTCTATATGTCTCTGTGTGAGTCTATGGGTCTCTGTGTGAGTCTATGGGTCTCTGTGTGAGTCTATATGTCTCTGTGTGAGTCTATGGGTCTCTGTGTGAGTCTATGGGTCTCTGTGTGAGTCTATGTGTCTCTGTGTGAGTCGATGGGTCTCTGTGTAGGTCTATGGGTCTCTGTGTGAGTCTATGGGTCTCTGTGTGAGTCTATGGGTCTCTGTGTGAGTCTATATGTCTCTGTGTGAGTCTATGGGTCTCTGTGTGAGTCTATGGGTCTCTGTGTGAGTCTATATGTCTCTGTGTGAGTCTACGGGTCTCTGTGTGAGTCTATGGGTCTCTGTGTGGGTCTATGGGTCTCTGTGTGAGTCTATGGGTCTCTGTGTGAGTCTATATGTCTCTGTGTGAGTCTATGGGTCTCTGTGTGCGTCTATGGGTCTCTGTGTGAGTGTATATGTCTCTGTGTGAGTCTATGGGTCTCTGTGTGAGTCTATGGGTCTCTGTGTGAGTCTATGGGTCTCTGTGTGAGTCTATGGGTTTCTGTGTGAGTCTATGGATCTCTGTGTGAGTTTATGTGTCTCTGTGTGAGCCTATGGGTCTCTGTGTGAGTCTATGGGTCTCTGTGTGAATCTATGGCTCTCTGTGTGAGTCTATGGGTCTCTGTATGAGTCTATATGTCTCTGTGTGAGTCTATGTGTCTCTGTGTGAGTCTGTGCACATTTGTTGAACGTCTTTCACAACGTACATAGCCAACCGCACTAATCGGAGGCGCGGGGGAAGGACAACAAACGAAACACACGAAATTATTTTTCCCGCACACTACACAAACGCCCGCGTCGCTTCACTGCACGCCCCACTGTGTTGCTCTGCGCGTTGCTGTTGCGTCTTGTTGCGAACCTCATTGCCCGACGATTTGATCGTCGGTCCGATTTAACTCGGCTCATCAGACGAGGGGTGTTGGGGTGGGGGTGGCAAGGCTGGAGGGGGGTGGCAGGGGGGGTGGAGGTCACGGCACAATCTGTGCCAAGCAAATATCCGAGCGGGTAACGAGATAACGATGCGGTTAGGCACGAGCCGTTGCGCCCCGCCGTGCACGTTGCGTGACGAGACGCCACGTGGCTGAACTCGCTCGTGGGCTCTGGCCACAGACCCAGGGCCGCTCACCTTGTTGCAATACAGAGTTGGCCTGATAACTTGAATCTACATTGTCTTATTGTGGTTATTGTTTGACGTGCATCCCGCTGGGATTTTTGCACACAGCAGTTGAAATATTCGGTGTTTTTTCTGGAAGACTTTGCTGTTTTGTCCAGGATTTTTCTGTTGCGTGTAGACACTTTAAGATACTCTTAGGTTTTTTCGGTAAAGTCACGTAGGTAAAAATAATAAAAATAAATAATAAAATAAATAATTAACTTCTAGAAATAATAACAGAAATAAAATAATACCTACGTGACTTTACCGATTAAACCTAAGAGTATGAATCCTTGCAGTCACGATAGCTTCAAATCTAGAACACTTTAAGATGTTTCTTGTTCATGTTTTTGTTGCGGCGGTTGCACCCGAGTGAAGAGCCGCATGGCTCACAGGGTTATTCCTAATTAATGAAAACTTAAACTGAACCCCCCCCCCCCACTGCAGACCAAATAGCAGCGGAATGTATCAGTCGGCGCTGGTAGAATGTCTCTCGTCACAGCTGTGCTGCATTGCAGCATACTGGAGTAAAGTCGAACGCAATACAGCTACCGGTGGGTGAGCGAGTGAGCGAGCGAGTGGGTGAGTGACTGGATGAGTGAGTGGGTAAATCCATGAGTGAACGGGTGAGTGGTTGAGTGAGTGGGTGAATGAACGAGGGGGGGGAGGGGCAGGGGAGGGGGCGGGGCTCGTAGGTGGGGGGATGGAGGGGGTGGTGGTGGTAGTGGTGGAGGCGGGTGGTGGTTTGGGCGATGCGTTCGTCAATTCGCTTTTTGACTTTTGCCCGCTCATCTCCCCCGCGCGCGCGAGTGGCCTGCCGCAGGCTTCCTTGCGATTGACATTTGATGTCGTTATTGTTGTTGTTGTTTGACCCGGAGGGAGTTGATGTGCTCGCCCTGAAAACCCCACGAGTCGCTGCTATTACAAGGGTAACCTTGATCGAGAGAGAGAGAGACAGACCCCCTCTCTAGACGGACGCTACATTCACCGACTCTTCCACGGTGGTGAGACGCTTTGCTAAAGGGGGTAAGCTACCCACACGGCGTTTGGCTCAAGACGGTGGGGGTCACCGCATCTTCTGCTGGCCGTCTGGAACGCTCTTTCCTTCCGATATTAGGAAGCCGCTGCAGCTGTTCACTTTGAAAGCATCTCGATCGACAAACGCACGTGTGTAGAGCTGCTTCTTGTGTCGAGTTTGCTGTACCTTCACCCCCCCCCCGCCGCACCTCCGATTAGCGTGGCTGGCTATGTACGGCGCGAAAGAAGTTCAACATACAGACCCGACGTACCCCACCACACGCGCCTCCAGCTACTCAGCGTGGTGTTAAGCACTTCCACTGCTTGTGTGGACAGGACAAAGGCAGTGAGTGGGGCTGGTGGTGGGGGGGGCAGGGGGGGGTTAAGAAACCTGCACTATTGTCTCAGTTGCCGCTCCAGGAGATGGAATCGAACCGGCGATCCCTCCGGATTGCAAGCCCAGCGTGGTGCCCATCACAGCAGCAAGGTGGCAGCCGTCCCGCGCTTTCGCACACGCAGCCAACGTGGGAGCTCAAATTCACGGCGACCGAATTCCTGTTGAGCACGTGGGCTGTCGCCTGATGACGCTGCTTGTGATTACTGGCGAAACGTCGGACTCGAATTGTAAATGTTGTGGGTTTACTCTCCAACACGAATTGGCACGTTATTGTAAAAGTGACAAACCTCACTAATTGGCTGTGCCGGGCGGTGGCGGGTTTTAACGACACATTCATATATTTACGCGATCTAACACAACAACAAAACCTCTATAATTATTAACCGAATTCCTCAATGCGCATCGTGCCCCTATCCGATGCAAAGCTCCGATATCCCAACCATCATCGTCGTCGGTTAGCTATGTTGAGGCTCACAAAAGGTACGAAACGAGTCCCGAGGCACCAACGGAAGTAGGAATCGCGACTGAACGGAGCGCTGCACATCGACAACAATAGCACGTGAACTCAGACTCACACAACAACAAAACCCTCCCAAGACGACAAGTAACATCGCGTACGCTGGCTTGTATCATGGACAAACTCGCTAACCCACTCTCTCAGTGCCCCAGGGTCTCAATGCCCCGTATCCCATTTCCCAGGGTCTCAATACCCCATATCCCATTTCCCCAGCGTCTCAATGCCCCGTCTCCTATTTCTCTAGTGCCCCAATGCCCCATATCCCATTTCCCCAGCGTCTCAATGCCCCGTGTCCCATTTCCCAGGGTCTCAATACCCCATATCCCATTTCCCCAGGGTCTCAATACCCCATATCTCATTTCCCCAGGGTCTCAATGCCCCATATCCCATTTCCCCAGGGTCTCAATACCCCATATCCCATTTCCCCAGGATCTCAATATCCCCATGTTCCATCTCCCCGTGTCTCAATGCCCCAAAATCCCAATGCTCCACTGCCCCAATAAACCAATGCCCCAACGTTATATTCCCCAGCCTTCCAAAGTGCCAAAGATCGAATGCCCGATCGCCCCGTTGCCCCCGATGCTCTGGCCCCACCGCCGTCGCGTGGCTCACCGATGTTGTTCTTGAAGGAGCGCGGGAGCGAGCCGCCCCTCTGGGAGATTCCACGCAGAGAGTGACTCTCCGCTTCCTCCTCCCGGGTAGCTCCCCTCCTCGGCAACGCGGCCACGAGAGCGGTCCTCCTTGTGTGTGTGGGGAGGAAGGAGGAGGGGGGAGGATTGAGATAGTTCTAGACTTGAAGCTTTCGTGACTGCAAGGAATCATATTCTTAGGTGTTTTCGGTAAAGTCACGTAGGTAAAACATCAAAATTAATAAAAATAATAAAATAAAATAAAGATCACGACGTTTCGGAGGCAACACAAGTCTCCGTCATCAGGTGGGACAGTCACAGCCAGATCAGCTGCATCAAGTGAGGCAATGATTCAAGATGTAATCCCTTAAAAGCGAGTTGAGGGGGGGAGGAGAGGGGGGGGGGGGAGGGGCTCATCAGAATGTGGTAGCCAATGAATGGAAAGTATCGGGAGAGAAGGGCCAACAAAAGGATTGAGATAGATGGAGAGAGGGGAAGAGATGGAGAGAGAGAGGGAGAGGAATGGAGATAGATTGATAGAGGGGGGAGAGAAGGGTTGTAGAGGGATGGAGAGAGGGGAAGAAATAGATGAAGAGAGAGATGGAGGCAGGGTGAATCTGAGTCTGAAACAGGGGTCCTAGAAACATCTGGCAATTCATCCGCATTGCTTCCAGCAAGTCCGATGACTCTGCTGATGAGACGCTGCATGTCGAAACCGGACCAGCGTTCGCTTGCATTGAACCAATGTGGAGCACGGGTCGAGGTTGGACTTCACTCGCCACTGATGTTAGCCGTGGGCAAGGGTGGGGAAGAGGAGGAGGGGGGTAGGGGGGGTCCTCAATGACGTGCTTGGGTCGATGAAGAGGAGATCGTTTGGGAGGCCGATTCCTGCCCTGCGCGACACGGCAGATGTCCCATATCTATCGAACCAGGACCACACGTACACGTGCGTGCAGACACACAGAGACAAACTACACACATTAAATAGATAGGCGCTCGTACAGACAAGGAGATACACGGGCAGGGAGACGAAACAAAGACGAAGATCCCCCGTGTAGCCTCGAACAGACTGTTAGGGCAAGTGCTGTTAGGAACACCTATGAAGGTTGGAACGGTACACAAGGTGGTGGGTGGCCAGCACCACGCACAGCCAACTTTATCTCCTTAGTGGCGATGTTTTTACGCACCGCACCAGGTACTCATTTGAGGCTGAGTCGACCTAGGGGAGGCCCAGGACCCGTTCAGAAAATCGTCACTGATGTTTGCCGTGAGCGGGAACCGAACTCGGGTCTCCCGGGTTCGAAGTTTAGCGCGCTAATCGGGTTTACAGGCAGACACACACACACAGACAGACTGCAAGCACTGAGACAGTGAGATAGACAGGGAGACAGACACGCGTACAGACACGTCGTCACACAGACAGATACTGAGAGACCCTAGCTTCGTGACCCTTCACTCAATGACCCTTAGCACCGTGACCGGTCTCAGCCATAAGCAGAGCACACGAAACAAAGATTTCCCCGTGTCGCCACGAACAGACTGTCGGGGCAAGTGCTGTTAGCGAACCGCTATGAAGACCGGCACGGCACACACGAGGTGGTGGGTGGCCAGGACCACGCCCGGCCACCTTTGTTTCCCCGGTGGCGATGTTTTACACACCGTTACCAGGTAATAATTTGAGGCACATGCACACACGCATACACTTTCATCGCAACGAACCGTCCGCTCCTGTCTGGGACAACGAGCCGGCAAATGAATGTCCACACCCACGACACCGCATCCAGAATAGCCTCGCGCTCATGGGCTCTGAGGAATCAACTCATTGGTTAAACACATTCTGCAATTGTCTCATTCTCGAGTCTGCCTCATCTCCCATCTCCCTCCCCTCATCCTTCTCGACGCTGGCTATCATATTCTTTGTTCTTTCGGTAAAGTCACGTAGAAGGGAAATAATAAAATAAAATAAATTATTATTTTTATAAAATAATTTTTTTATTTTATTTCATTATTTCTCTTCTACGTGACTTTACCGAAAGAATCAAGAATATGAATCCCTGCAGTCACGAAAGCTTTAAAGCTGGGTATCTTAAATATTCACGAAACCCCGAGTGCAGAGCGGCGAACACGTGTCACCATTAAAGCCTCCACGTACATACAAAGCAAAGACAAAGCACCCCCCCCGTATAGCCTCTGCACACTCTTGGGGCAAGTGCTGTTAGTGAGCACACCTCATACAGAGGCACACGCGCAGCAGTCTTCACTTTGACAGATCCGCGTTCATTCACCAACTTGCTTACTCGTCAATACAATCATTCATTAATTCAAAGGTTTATTAATTCATACAATCGTGAGATGAAGAGTACATTTACATAAAATATAAACGAGGTGGGGGGGGAGGGAGGTTATCAATACGTAAAGAGACGCTGAATAATTCTGTGCATGACTGTGTGTGTGCGAGAGTGCGTGAATGAGTGTGTGAGTGGGGTATGAGTGAGTGAATGAGTGAGTGGGTGCGTGTGTGTGTGAATGAGTGTGAGTGTGTGTGCATGAGTGTGCGTGAATGAGTGTGTGAGTGGGGTATGAGTGAGTGAATGAGTGAGTGGGTGAGTGTGTGTGTGAATGAGTGTGAGTGTGTGCATGAGTGTGCGTGAATGAGTGTGTGAGTGGGGTATGAGTGAGTGAATGAGTGAGTGGGTGAGTGTGTGTGTGAATGAGTGTGAGTGTGTGTGCATGAGTGTGCGTGAATGAGTGTGTGAGTGGAATATGAGTGAGTGAATGAGTGAGTGTGTGTGTGTATGAGTGTGAGTGTGTGCATGAGTGTGCGTGAATGAGTATGTGAGTGGGGTATGAGTGAGTGAATAAGTGGGTGAGTGTGTGTGAATGAGTGTGTGAATGACGGTGTGTGTGTCAGTGTGTGTGTGTGTCAGTGTGTTTGTGTCAGTGTGTCAGTGTGTGTGTGTCAGTGTGTGTGGGAGCGTTAGTGTAGCGGTTAGCGCGCTGCGCTATTAACCTGGAAACCCGGGTTCGATTCGGGTTCGATTCCCGCTCGCGGTCAACACCAGTGACGACTATCTGAACCGGTCCTGGGCCTCCCCTAGGTCGACTCAGCCTCAAATTAGTACCTGATGCGGTGTGTAAACATCGCCACTGGGGAGACAAAGGCGGCCGGGCGTGGCGCTGGCCACCCACCCCCCCTCGTGTGCCACATAGGTAACAGCACTTGCCCCAACAGTCTGTGAGAGACGACACGGGGGGGGAATCTGTCTTTGCGTGTCACATCACCGCATTACGTGTGTGTACATCATTATATATAAATACATCTCCACTTAATCTCGTCCCCGTCTCGGGCGACATTCAGAACGCGAGCTGACGCAGCAGCAGCAGTGGCGAGTCAGTGGCAGCCGGGGACAGATTAAATGGGGCCCGTACGCACGTACACACACACACACACGTACACACGCGTGCACACACACACACACGTACACACGCGTGCACACACACACACACACGTGCACACACACACACACCTGCACACACACGTGCACACACACACGCACGCACACACGCACGCGTGTGCGTGTGTTTAAATATACATAAGCTATTTTAAATAAATAAAGACATCGCGGGGGATTTTTGTCGCGTGTCCATCTATCACCCCCTCCGATTGAGGATTTATGCTCAAACGAGAGACTTGAGTCTGTAGGGGGGTGTGGGGGGTGTGGGGAGATAGGGGGGGAGATGGGGGGGGAGATGGGGGGGAGATGGGGGGAGTCACCATTGGGCAGCTCAATTGAGTGGCTGATTGATCGAGGAGCGTGAATCTGGCAGAAGAATCAAGATGCACGTTGCAGGCTGCTGCTGTTGCTGCTGCTGCTGTTGTTGCTGCTGTTGCTGCTGCTGTTGCTGCTGCTGTTGCAGGCTGCTGCTGTTGCTGCTGCTTCTGTTGCTGCTGTTGCTGTTGCTGCTGCTGTTGCTGCTGCTGTTGCTGCTGCTGCTGTTGCTGCTGTTGCTGTTGCTGCTGCTGCTGTTGCTGCTGTTGCTGCTGCTGCTAAGGAGCTACGTGTACGTCCATTAAAATAAACGTTATGTCCACAGCAGCTCTTTGTATATGTGTATGTATAGAATGACGGAGAGCTGAGAGAGACAACAATCAAGAATTACGCCTTGAACAGACGGTCGAGGGCCAAGTGCTGCCAGGTTATGAATTCGCACACAAAGACAAAGGTCCCCCGTATAGCCTTCGCAGCCTTTTGGGGGCAAGTGTATCGAGCAGAAACCTACGAAGGTCGGCAACAGAGCACAACGCCCGGACGCCTTTGTCTCGTTTGAGGCCGAGTCGACCTAGGGGGAGGCACCAGGACCGGTTCAGATAATTCTCACTCGTGCCGGTGGCCGTGAGCGTGGGATGTTTACACATCGCACCAGGGACTCATTTGAGGCCCAGTCGACCTAGGGGGGGAGGCCCAGGAGGGGTTAAAAAATTCGTCACTGCTATTTATCGTGAGCGGGAAATCGAACTCGGGTCGCCGGGTTCGTAGCGTAATGTGCTAACCACTGCGCCACCGCTCCCCATACATTCACAAAGATCCCCCGTATAGTCTTAACAGACTGTAGGGGCAAGTGCTATTAGCGAGCACCTATGAAGGCCGGAACGGCACACGAGGAGGTGGGTGGCCAGCACCACGCCCTACCACCTTTGTCTCCCTAGTGGCGATGTTTACACACCGCACCAGGTACTCATTTATGGCTGAGTCGACCTAGGGGAGGCCCAGGACCTGTTCAGATAATCGTCACTGGCGGTGTTGGCCGTGAGCGGGAATCGAACCCGGGTCGCCAGGTTCATAGCGCAGCGCGCTAACCGCTGCGCCACCGCTCCCCACATTCACACACACGCACGCAGGCGCACGCACGCGCACACACACGCGCACACACACACGCACGCACACACGCACACACACACACACACACGCGCACACACACACGCACGCACACACACACGCACACACACACACGCACACACACACGCACACGCACACACACGCACGCACACACACACGCACACACACACACGCACACACACACGCACACGCACACACACGCACGCACACACA